TTCCTTTTTTGCTGAGTACAATGGCTTGCAATTGTCAGTTCACTTTAAGCATGTTCACGGGGACGAGCACTCGTGCAATGCTTTAGTCGAGCGTTCATATGTTTCTGTCCTTACAGACGAACGCATACGTGACAAAGACCCCCAGACATGTCAGATCGACGAAAAATAAGAAACTCTAAATATACTTTCTCGTAGGCTGCGCCTATAAATACACATCACGTTGAGAGCCTTCCCTCTGAATTATGCACGCTTTAAAGTGAGTCCTACTGCTCTCATTTGAATGATAGATGTTAAATTTCGTGCACGTCAAAAATAGAATTCTGAAACGGAGCCGGTGGATGGAGGGTGCGCTCCTTCAGAAATCATTTCCAAAAGAGCGGGTGAGTCCTTTCTTACTGACTCCATCTCGCTCGTTCTGTGATCTGCGCTATATTTAGCTCGCAGAAGTCTATTTTTGTCCTCACGTGTCAGACAGACTCCCCTCACGCACTCGGTGCTCTCGTGCAAATTCTCCCCCGTTCTTTCTTCCTTCCTCCCTCCCTCCACGCCTCGCTTTCTCCCTCTATTTTTCAGCTTCTAATTTGCCCCATCTCTCTCTGATCCGAGCGTTTTGCCTCTCGCTTTTCATATTCTATCAGCCTCTCTCTCTCTCTTTCTCTCTGTCGCGTGCCAGTTGTCAGGTGTCCAGCTTTCTGCAGAGAGAGGCGCAAACATGAGGAGAATATAAACAAGACCCGACTAATGAGCCAAAGCCAGAGAGAGAGAGAGTAAGAAAAGGCTGTCTGGTGTCACTTTGGAGCTTTTTCATATCTATTTAATTAATCAGAAATAGGCAGAAACGTCCAGACCTTAGGCGACTGGACAGATCCATATTTCTATTTAAAGGAATCTTATTAAACGTGACAATCGGCAGACATGTGTCAATTCTGACACCGATGACCGTTATGATATGGACGAGCAATTATGACATTTAATTTAATGCAAGCTGGCATTCATTCTTCCTGAATATTGCAGGTTTCATTGTTAAATTGACCCTATTGGCATTCTTAAAGGGTTAGTTCACCCAAAAATGAAAATTCTGTCATTAATTACTCACCCTTGCCTTGTTCGAAACCCGTAAGACCTTTGTTCATCTTCGGAACACAATTTAAGATATTTTTGATGAAATCTGAGGGCTCTCTGACCCTCCCATAGACAGCAAGGTAACTACCACGTTCAAGGTCCAGAAAAGTACCAAGATGATCGACAAAGTAGTCCGTGTGACATCAGTGGTTCAACTGTAAAGTTACGAAGCTACGAGAATACTTTTTTGCGCAAAGAAAACAAAAATAACGACTTTATTCCACATTTTCGTCTCTACTGCGTCACTTGTGGACGCGCGTTCACGACAGTATCAAGACGCGAGCGTGTGGCGGCGCTGATCCAGATCCGGCGTAATGACGTCATCACGCCGGATCTGGGTCAGCGCCGGCGCCACCACACGAACACGAGGGTGAGTAATTAACAACAGATTTTTCATTTTTGGGTGAACTAACCCTTTAACGCACGTTCCGATCTTATTGTGAACGATTCATCCGTGCACGTTAGTTCAAAGACTAAAACATATCGTCTTCATAATCTTTCATCAAAATCGGATCACTTCCTCTGGCACTGAAACAAATTTGCTTTCGGCTGACATCACCAAACCCTCTTAATTTTTTTCTCCCAGGCTCTATTCTGGTATGAATGCCCATTTTTCACTATAGAATCAATTCCTGATGTTTTAAATCTAATGGCCTAAATTTATCCTCAATGATTATCCTGTTTCACCTGAAAACACAGCAGCTCAGATAATGTTTTTTGTACAGAAGAACTTCTATAAGGCTTTAACAATATAAGTGGAAGAAAACAGGGTTGCATAAATGTGGAAGGGTTCAGTACAAAATAAGGTCTATCTCTTTTAGTACTAGCGAAAATTGACTAAAATGCCAAAAATGGCTTTTATGGTAATAGACTAACAGTTTGCCCTGCACTTGAATAAATGTTAAAATTACATTGTTGAGAAAGTATAGCCACAAGACATTAAATTACACTCTAAACTGTTATTTTGTTATTTCTGAAATACTATTTTAGTTTTTACATTTTTTTTTTTTACATTTCTTACATATATTTTTAATTGTAAATATTTAGTTACTTTGTTGTCATTTTTAGTGGTGTCTATATAGTTTTTATTATTTTAATTTATACAAATTAAAATAATTTATTTATTTTAAATCCAGTTAACTTTAAGTAACTTTTTTTATGGTTTTAGTTTTATAACCCTACTTAACATTGCTTGTTAAAAATTAAATACAATTCTTTGACTCAGGACCACATAACTAAAGAAAAAAAAAAAAAATGGTCACAAATTAATTTTAGTTTGGGATACATGGTAGGTGATATTAATAAAAATTGATCAAATTTGAAACCTTCACAACCCATCAGTCAGCAATTACACTGGGAAATTTTATGCTGATAAACATTTTTAAGTAACACCAGTTAACTTTGGCAGCCCCGAAAATACTAAAAATAAAAGTTAAACTCTGAAAACACTAAAATAATAGATAGAAAAATATAAAAATAGGACATTTTTAAATAATATCAGTTCGCTTTGGCAGCCCTGAAAATACTAATAAAAGTTAAACTCTGAAAACACTAAAATGATAGATAAAAAAAGAAGACATTAAAAAAAAAATAGTACCAGTTAGCTTTGGCACCCCAAAACTACTAAAATAAAAGTTAAACTCTGAAAACAAAAAAATAATAGAGACAATTAGAAATAAACTAAACTGGAAATAAAATGCAGTAAAAAAGAGGATTTTTGTCGGAAACAATCAGAAATTCATCATTAAAAGGATCTTTTAGAAACACATTTTTTGTACTGAAGTAATTAAGAGCTTTAACTATAAAGCTTCTTGAATGCCTTCTTTTGTTTCTGCATTAGTGCAAACATGATTTTTGCTTGTCATTACAAACTGAGGGATGAGTCAAAAACTATGTGTTAAATGACAAGAAATTACAGATACGGTTGAAACAGCTTGTTTTGAACCCTGAATAGTTCTGAAAAATGCAGACTTGCAGAGTGGATTTTTACTTAACAGCTTAATAGCCTGTAATACATTTAACGTTCCAAAGTTTGTCATTAAAGGGATAGTTCACCCAAAAATGAAAATGTGATGTTTATCTGCTTACCCCCAGGGCATCCAAGATGTAGGTGACTTTGTTTCTTTAGTAGAACACAAACGAAGATTTTTAACTCAAACCGTTGCAGTCTGTCAGTCTTATAATGGAAGTGGATGGGAATCACGGCTTCTGACGCATCTTCTTCTTCTTCTTGCTTTACGGCGGATCGCAGACTTATGAGTGCATTACTGCCACCTCTCTCTCAAATGGACCATTGATACTCTATCTACAATCTCAATTAGGAGTGTCAATGATCCATTTGTGAGATAGGTGGCAGTAATGCACTTTTAAGTCTGCGATCCGCCGTATAAATACTGTTCAGTTTCTTGCACAGACCGATCGTTTCGTGTCTTTACACATCAATGTATTGTTACGAGCCGCAGGGTTTAATTTGGTTTTGTTTGTGTATGTTTTTTGACTCTCAAAGCCGTGATTCCCATCCACTTGCATTATTAGACTGACAGACTGCAACGGTTTGAGTTAAAAATCTTCGTTTGTGTTCTACTGAAGAAACAAAGTCACCTA